TGTTGGATGGGACTTTGAGCAACCTGGTCTGGTATGAGGTGTCCCTGCCCATGGCAGGGCGTTTGGAATGAGATGATCTTTACGGTCCCCTGCAACACTAATCATTCTATGATTCTATGACTCTGGGACAAAAGAGCAACAAAGATCTTAAATAGCAAACATTCAAGCGAGTTCCTGATGCAAAAGGTAGCATCCTAAAATTATTGCCCAAATTCAGCTCGGTACAGAATTTCTGAAAAGCCTTTTCTTAAGCCCTTGTCATGGTTATAGAGAAAAAGGAGTGGAGGTTTTAGTGCTGTCTATTCAATACCATCCACATCATGGCTGAGGGTGTGATTTTCGGCTGGAAGAAGCTGGGGCCAGAAATGGAAATTGTGCCATTTTTTGCATGACTTCCTGTGGGGAGAAGGTATCAGGGTCAGCCTGGCAGATCTAGTCCCACTCCATCACATCCTTTCCCATTCCTCTGTGCTGCGGCTTTTGTGGCTTGGTGCTGAAGGACTGTGAGCCTGAGATGCTGCTCTGAGAAAAAGAAAAGGGAGAGAGAGGCGCTGGTGCAGGGCAAAGCCCAGCCATGCCGTATGGAGCCCAAGCCCCAGCAGAGACTAGCAGAGCAGAATTGGTCCTGGAGGCAACTGCATGGAATCAAACCAGAAAAGCAGAGCGGTCCAAAGTGGAGGCGTGGCACAACATGGATTATCCAGCTTCCGAAAGGGCTTGTTTGCTCTAGTTCTTCATTGTTTTTTTGGATGGGGGAGGGAGGGGAGATGAATGTTAAACCACAGAAGTTCTCATGGTCATATTGCTTTTGTTTTCCTGAATACCATGTGGCCTGAGTGCAGGGCATTTGTCTGGAAACTATGACAGGTGCTGTCTTTGGGAAGCATTTCTGTTTGTTCAGTGGTAAATACCCTTTTATAGGTACAAATTTCTCTCTTTTGTACTCTTTTTATTAATACTATTATGCTTATTGCAATTTTCAGTAAATTTTTATTCCAACTGATAATCTCTCCTAGTGTTCCTCCATTATTGGAAGGGGTGAGGGAAAGGGAGCAACTTGAGTGGGTTGTTTTTCCAGCTGGATTTTAAACCACCACAGCCCTGAAGCTAAGCATCTAGCAGTTACCTTCTGATGCTTGGCTTGAGATCTATTTGGATGTGAATGGAGACCCTTGGCACCGATACCTTCTAATTTGCGGCATAAGTAGATGTAGCACAAGCTGTCCTACCCGGTTCCCCACACCTCCTTCGTGCATCAGCTCATTAGTGCTCTACTGGTGAGCACAGTCAGGTCAGATCTAGCACTAATCCCAGTATGGTGGTTTGACCTTGGCCAGATGCCAGGTGTCCACCAAAGCTGCTCTGTCACTCCCTTCCTCAACTGGGCAGGGAAAAGAATATATAATGAAAGACTAATGGATTTGGGATAAGGACAGAGAGATCATTCACCAATTACTGTCAGGGGCAAAACAGACCCAACTGGGGGAAATTAATTGATTTTATTACCAATCAAAATCAGAGTAGAATAATGAGAAGTAAACAAATCTTAAAAACACATTCCCCCTACCGTCCCTCCTTCCCAGGCTTAACTTTGTTCCTGATTCTCTACCTCCTCCCACACAGTGACATAGGGAGATGGGAAATAGGGGTATCTTGGGGTGATTCATAATGATAGTGTACCCCAAAAATTATCTGAGCCCAAAAATTGTTACTGTATCTTTAAGACCCCACAGCTGGGAACTTTGTGTGTGTATGTGAGGGAATGGAGGGGGATTTTGCTTTGGTGTGTGCAATTTTTAAAATCTGACTGCCCAGGCTCTCTCTCACCCAGCTTGGGGCCGTATCAAAAATGGGAATCCTCTCCCATTTCAGGTCTCTCTGTTCCAATGGAGTGGTGAGGTCTAGCAGTTTGATATCTAGCCATTATTTACTTTTTTTTTCCTGTCTGTTGGCATCCTGTTTGTTAATAAACCATTGTTTTTTCACTTTTATCTATTATTATTAATTTCTTATTGGTGGAAAGGGATTATTGGAACCCTAAAGGAGATAACTCACAGGGTTCTCCTTTTAATTGTCTTAAACCAAGACAAGGGGTTATGGTCAGTTCATGCAGCTGCTTCTTCAGAGAGGAGTCCTTCCCCTGCTCCAGCTTGGGGTCCCTTCCACGGAAGACAGTCCTCCACGAACTTTTGCAATGCGAGTCCTTCCCACAGGCTATAGTTCTTCCCAAACTTCTCTAGCATGGGTCCTGTTTCACAGGGTCCAGTTCTTCAGGAACAGGCTGCTCCACCATGGGTCCCCCACAAGGTCACAAGTCCTACCAGAAAACCTGCTCTAGCATGGAGTCTTCTGTCTATGGATCCACGGGTCCTGCCAGGAACCTGCTCCAGTACGGGCTTCCCATGGGGTCACAGCCTTCTTTTGGTCATCTACCTGCTCTGGTGTGGGGCTACTCCATGGACTGCAGGTGGATCTCTGATTCTCTGTGGACCTCCATGGGCTGCTGGGGGACAGCTGCTTCACCATGGTCTTCACCATGGCTGTAGGAGAATGTCAGCTCCAGTGCTTGGAGCACCTCCTCCCCCTCCTTCTTCACTGACCTTGGTGTCTGCAGAGTTGTTCCTCTCACATATTTTCACCCCTCTCTTCTCTGGCCACAATTACTTCTGCACAATAATTTATTTCCCCTTCTTAACTATGTTGTCACAGACGTGTTACTGCCATCACTGATTGGCTTGGCCTTGGCCAGCAGTGTGTCTGTCTTGGAGCTGGCTGGCATTGGCTCTGTCAGACATAGGGGAAGCTTCTAGTGGCTTTTCAAAGAAGCCACATCTGTAGCCCTCCCACTACTAAAACCTTTCCACACAAATCCAATACACCCAGCATTTAGGGGAAAGTTCAGGTGGTGCAGGAGGTCAGATGGGTGCAGGCTTCTAGGCAGCAGCTGGATGCTCTCACCTAAACCTGCTCCTTGTAAACAACATTCCTATGACTTCTGGAGACACTCCAAGAATCAGCCAGACTCCATAAAGATGGCACCAGGGCCAAAAAATAACACACCTTGTAATTAAGTCATGTGTCACTATGGTAATTTCAAGATATCCTTCTGGTCTTTGTTGACCTGTCTTTATAACTGGTTTCTCTCTGAACTCACAAGGCAGGGAGTGTGTCTGCTGCCTTGCACTGCAGGGTGTTTACTAAAATGCTCACAGCATGATACCAAGACTTAATAGCAAGACACTAAAAAAGCCAATTCTCAAGTTCAATGACAAAAAATCTCCCAACAAACTGCAAGTTTTTAGGAAAGTGACTTGCTGTCAATCTCCCCAGGACTGGAATTATAACCATAAGCAGTTTTAACATGAAGCTCCCAATGACCCAAGCCTCAGCTTTAGAAAATAATTTTCTTTGCAAAGGAGCTAGTAAAACCGAAAATTAATTAAGTCACTGGGAATGATGACTGAGATGCACACTAACAAGAATAACATCAATAGAGAGGTCAGAGGACTGGTAAAACAGATCCTACACACAGTATGGTTTAAATGCACATTTATAATGTCTTTCAGCCCCTGTGAGTACACATCACTTCCATCCACCACTGCCCAACCCCTGTAGCTGAGGAGGGATGGACCACACTACCAACCACATGGACTCTGACTGTTTACCCATGCATGCAACAGCAAATTGCCCACAAAGTCTGCATTTGCATGCATGCAGCAACTTTTCAAAGCCTAGCTCAGCGTCCTCGGCCTCAACATTCATTATTATCATCCTCCAGCAAAGCATTACAAATACAAAATCATGCTCTTTGTTGCATGACTACAACCTTGTTAGTTCATCTCTGTGCCTGGCATCAACATAGAAAAATACCAAGTGCTCGGCTCAATCCATGGTATAAATGCAGGAATTATCCTGTGTCATGTGTTACCCCAAGCATTTTTCAGTTCCAAGTTTAAGGAGCTTCACCCATCTTTCCTCCTTCTCAGCTGCTGCGAGAGACTAGAAGGATTGTTGGCTTGAAGCATTTTGGGTACGTGTGTGGGGAAAGGGGAAGGTTGAATCTTGCCCTGGTGAGGCGATGCCCTGCTTTGCACACACGCACACTCTCCCCTATCCAGCTAGAGCCCAGTCCCTGCAGTAGCCACTTATCACTGGCACACCCCAGCCCTAGAGCCCCAATCTAGCCCCAGAGTGGCCAGATGACTGGAAATCTCACCTGGGAGAATGGTCCTGGAAAGCCAAAGTGTGCTTAATCCAGAACATTAGGCAAGTATATCATGACCCTATCTCCCTTGGACTTTACATCAGGTGAACACCACTACCAGGAGTGGTAGCTATATTTGTTCTTTTCTATCTCTTTTTTATCTTCCTCTCTTTCTCCTGCTAATTACCTTTTCTTGGAGTTTTGAGTAACTCTGAAATCAGATGGGCTTGGTGTTTTCTAAGTTGAATGGGCTAAGCTAATGTTTTGTGAAATGTTTTATGTTGATTGAATGCTGCTCTAAACTTTTGCCTAAGTTCTCTGATTTTCTGAAGTTGTCAGTAAAGTTTTTTGTTGTTTTGACCTCTTGAGAATATCTTGTCACCATTTAACTCCATCTATGTGGTGTCCACTCGATATATCAACTTCTAATGAAGACTTAACAAAAAATAATTACAGACATATCTTAATTTCTCAAAATTAAATTATTCCAAGACTTCAAATCAAGAAAAAAAACCAAAACAATTTCCTTTGCACTAAACCAGCTGACTAGGGACTTTCCCATTATTAAGGCGCTCAGGACATCTCATCAGATTTCTTGAGGTTGAAGGACAGCAATAGCCCTCAGCAGCCAGGTTAGGCATTATGGAGCAATTAAGTAGGTCTTTAGGGTGTCCTTCATAATTGACATGTACTCACACCCTATGTGGGACACACACACCAAACAAGTTGTTAGGAGGATACCTCCAGTAAACAGCAAGCAAAGAACACCACTTCAGCAAGTTGGTACCAGGTATACCTTGCTTGATTGCCTGAACTGGCTGCTTCTCTCATGTGAGGCAAAGTGAAAATTTTCCAGGACAGAAATTCATTTTAATTTAGGTGAAATGTACATTTTTGAGTTGAGTCTGTGGTTAAAAACCATAGTTATTTAGCCTGACTGCAAGGCCTAAGCTCAGTGAAGTTACTTCAGTGAAGGACAGAGATAAAGGGGGGAGACAAAAGATGATAGAGAGAGACAGGGACTGCTGTAAGGGCAAGTCAACCTGACCTCGGAATTCTTTCAAATAAAAAGAACTGGTGGCAAATGTCACGCGAAATCCATAAAAATGACTATGTATGAACCTATTGTGAAACTGTATGCATATGTATTTGAAAGGAGGACAAAAAGGGATCTGAAGTTCCCAGAAGTACGCATGCTTTTTTGAGGAGAGCAATCTCTGCATGCGTCCAGTGCTGTAATAAGCATACCGGGCTTTACAACTTTCACAAAGTTGTGGAGTACTTTTTCTTTTCTCCTCAAAACATTATGGCACCCCAGATGGGAGTTCTCTGTCCCCGCAGGGGCAGGGGGGATAGACGGACCTCCAAGGTGTGCTCTAGGATGTTTTTTCCTAGTGGGGCTCCGCTCATCTCAGCTTGCCTCCTGCGAGGACGGACAAGGACCTGCTGGCATGCGGAGGACACGGTATGTATTGAGGGGCCCCCGGGGGAAAAGAGAGCTAGGATGGCTGAGTAAGTCACTCAGAGATGTCTGGGTGCTCGGCCTGTAGATGTAGCTGATAGAGCAGATGGATTAGAGATGGGGGTTCATCGTTCTGATAGGGAAGACCGCTAGTGACCCTGGGGGTGGGTCGAGTGAACCTGTGTGTGTGTGTGTCGTGTCCGGACACTGTATCATTGTATGGTTAATGCATTGTGTGGTTAATGTTAATGTGTCTGTAATCGTGCAAGTGTGTGGTATATGAAAGAGAAAGAGAACAAGTGAGTTCACCCATGGCGCGGGGGGCTGTGACTACTACCCGTGTTTGAAGCAGCCGAGTGAGGCCTGAGGCCCTGGCTGCAGCAAGCTGTGGGGGCAGAGAGAGAAGTGCCCCACGGAGAAGTGGAACAAGTGGAGAAACATCAGTGATGGTATTTATTGTGTTTAAATGTAGTGATTTGTGTAGAATTAGTACATTTTAACTGTGAGTACGAGCTCAGAGAGCTTCTTTGCCCTGGATGTTTAAACTTGATCTCTAGAATTTTACTGTGTGCTGTTATTTTGATTGTGTCCAGGGAGAGCTGATGTGGGTAAATGCTGAATTATGGTATGCTGTGTTGTGTTAAGAAAAGTGGGCACTTTGAGAGATATGCCCTTTCCCAGTGATTTTGTGTGGTGATTTTCTTCCACCACATTGTGGTAATTTGAGTCTCAGATTGTATAATAGTGTTTGTAGAGATTTTAGGATTTTGTTTCCAACAAGTGTAGCATTTTACACAGAAGAACTATGGTATGGTGATTATGGTGATATGTGTTAAAGCGAATTGAAGGAATTCTAAGAATTCCCCCCGCCCCACAGTAATTCAAGCCCTGGCTCTAGTGAATTTGAGATAAGAGGAGTGTGTGCATCTGTGTTTGTAGGCATATCAGAGGTTTTGCTGGAACAAGCCTTTTGCAACGCAGTACAGTGAGTGTCAGTAGAGACAATTCTTTAATTACATTGTGCAAGAAGAGAACTAGAGAAGACTGACATTTTGTAAAACAGAGTTTAGATAGAAGAGATGAATGAGTTTATGAGACTTCAGCTGGTACTATAGAAAGTCTGGACTGAGAACAACCTGTAAAAAACAGAATATCCTGCCTCTGTAATTCCTGGGAGTTTTTGGTGCATTGAGAGGCTGGCACCTTATGTGCAATACAGAGTTTGTGGGGGACGCTGGTATTGCTGTTCTAATAAGCATCAAGGCACATGTCCTGAGTGTAAATTAAAGGTTTCTGATCAAGCTGATTCAGAACCTAAGATCTTAAAGCTTGTGTGTAAGAAATCATATCTGATACCTTCCACCTGGAGTTGTGTGTAAGAGGAAGACTAAGAAACTACTCTGAAGCTTTGTAAAGAGAAGTTTGAGTGGAAGTGAGATACGGCAAGGAGAAAGAGATAATGAGAACTGACCAGAGCAAAGAGGGTCCTAAACTAGCCCCTTTTAGGAGGGGCTCACTGGGAGAAGGCTGCCAGTAGGAGCAGCTCAGAAAATAAAAATATTTATGATACTTCATTGCAGTTAATACTGTTTTAAAAGAGGAAGGTAAATAGGATGGGGTTTTTGAATGCTGATATGTCATTTTGTTTTAAGAAACCACCCAGAATGGCAAAGAGACTGTGGGATCAGACTGCCCTCAGATCCACTAGTCTTGGCCCTTGAAAAGGAAAACAAGGCAAAGAGAAAGCAAATCAAACGTGTTGTTCAGCATGCAGCATAAGATAGCAACATGTGAAGTCAAACAAAGATTATTGTGCTGAAAGGCAAAACAATTACAGTTCGCAAAATGAGTACATATGATTTGTAAAGGCTCCTCCTAAGGTAAGGAAGGAAAGATAAAGATGACCTCCCCAAAAGAGAAGAGGATTTAGGCTCCAAATTTTACCCACTCGAACCCATCCCCCTCCTGGCAGTTCAATTTCATCCAGAACAAAGATGTAACAGACCCCTCTGCGAGAGGCAGTGAGATCAGAAGAAAGAAAAGGGTAGGATTTTAGTCGACACAAGGGCCATATATTCAGTTTTAAATAAAGCTTTAGTACCTGTGGAGAATGTTAATGTTGTAGTGTGGGGAACAACTGGCCAGTCTGAGAAGGCATACTTTTGCAAACCTTTAAAGTAACATGTGTACTATGTGTACTTAAAAGCTTTTGTACATGCTCTATTCGCTAAACATTCTCAAATGAGAAAAGTTACTCTAGAGGCAAATGATATAAAGATGTTAGGCTTAACATTAACAACCATTGAAATTAAGAAAGACATTAGTAAAGAGATATTAAAATAAGTAAATAAGTGTTTTCGAGGGTATGGGCCTCTGCCGTACCAGGGAAGGTGAAAAATGCCCCTGCATGGTAATCAAGCTTAAAGAAAGAACCCAACCAGTGAGAATTGAGCAGTACCCTCAAAGAGAAGATAGGGAAGGAATCAGCCGAACAAATGATAGTACTAGATTGAGGGTTGTCAATAAGATAACAAAGAATTTATACCCTGTGGTAGCAAATCCATATACTTTACTAACTTGTTTAACATCTGAGCTAACCTGGTTTACTGTTTTAGACCTGAGAGAGATGCTTTCTTTTGCCTCCCTATCCACGAAGCCAGCCAGAAAATTTTTGCATTCAAATGAGAAAGTCCTAGAACACAGCTCACATGATCTATGTGCCTGAAGGCTTCAAAGATTCCCCCACTCAGATTAGAGAACAACTTGCAAAAATCCAGAGTCCTGGGAAGCTCCACAAGAAGAAGGGAGGCTTTTGCAGTACGTGTGGCCTGGATGGTAAGCCTTTTGAATTTCCTAAGACTCCAAGGATACAGAGTATCAAAGAAAAGGGCATAAGTAGTGAAACAGAAAGTAATCTACCTCGGATAAAAAGTGAGTGCTGAGCAGCAGACTTTAAGATAGACTACTCGTCACACCCCTCTATGCTCTTATTGCCGATAGAAAAAGACATCTCCAGTGAGCAAGGGAAGCCACACAAGCCTTTCAACAGTTAAAGAGTGCCCTCATGTCAGCTCCAGCTTTGAGACTTCCAGATGTAAGTAAACCATTCTTTCTATTTTCCCATGCAAAGAATTGCCCTGAGAATACTAGCTCAAGACTTGGGTCCGTACCAGAGGGCAGTTGCTCACTTCTCTAAGCAACTAGATACAACAGCCAACGGATGGCCAGGTTGCCTCAGAGCTGTAGGCAGCAGTCGTGCTGAATATTGAAGAAGCACACAAGTTTACCCTGAGACAAAAATGACTGTGCTAGTGTTCCACACAGTGTCCACAGTACTGGCAGTAAAGGGCAGCCACTGGTTCTCACCACAGAACTTCCTGAAATACCAGGCCGTCATGGTAGAGCAAGATGATGTAGAGATAGTAGTGACTAATATTGTCAACCCAGCTTCTTTTCTCAGTAGAATTAAGGAGAAGCAGTATACCACGATTGCCTGGAGACCATTGAAGCTACTTGCTCGAGATGCCCAGACTTGAATGACACTCCTCTAGACGATGCAAAGGCCTAGTTCATTGACAGGAGCAGCTACATTACTGTTGTAGTGTGTTCTGTTAGTTTGTTTGATTGCTCCCCTATTTTCTGTATTGTTCCTTCCATCTTCTGTAATGGTTCTGCCCTCACCAGTTTTTCCCGCCATTGTATTATCTATCATTTGGTTACCTTGGTTACTCCCGCCACAGTTTATGTCAATCCTCTCTGTTATATAATTTCCCCTCCCCTGTGTTTCCTTATATGTGAATTTGTTCTCCTCCCTGGGCCCAGTCAATCACTCCCCACTCCTCCTAGTTTGCCAGAATCTTCTGTGCTTAGGGAGACTTGATTGGCTGTGGCTCCGGGGCCCCTCCTTTACATTGTTTCTATTGGGTTTTCTCTCATGCCGATTATCCTAAGTCCACTCCCTTGCCTTCCCCTATTGGTTCCTTTGTAAACCCCTCCCTGAGATCCCTCCTCCCTTTATAACCCTGTTGCACCCTTTGTTCAAGGTCACTCACTGGCAGACAGGTTAGATTCAACATCTGGGTGTCTGTCACTCCCTGGCTGACAATAAATCTGACAAGTCCCCAGTGAGCGTCCGGACTCTTTACTCTCGTTGGCCAGCAGCGATTCCATCCGCTGTGAGCACAGCTCGAAGCCTTCTGACGCTGAGGGGTGCTCACACATTTGCAGTTGGGTGTTGGCCGCCCTCCTGCCAGTCGGACACCTTACTTTAAGGCCACACCACGCTGCACATTACCAGTAGAAAGCGACATGCTAAGTACACAGTGACTACCTGCAGAGAAGCAATAGAGTCTAGACCCTTACCAACAGGTACCTCTGCGCAGAAGGCTGAGATAAATGCATTGACCCATGCCTTAGAAACAGCAAAAGGCATTCAGAGTCGTGCATGCACATGGAGCCATCTGGAAGGAGAGGGGACTGCTAACCTCACAAGGGAATAAGAGACAATCCGGCTGCTGGAAGCAGTTCAGCTACCTGAAAAAGCATATTAAGGCACACCAGAGAGTAAGCTTAAAATTAAAGGAAAGAAATGAGCTGGCGGATGGAGAGGCAAAGAAAGCAGCAAAAGGTGAGGTAATTATGGACAGATTTTCCTTGAAGGTAAGCCAGAATACAATAATACTAATCAAAAGAGACGTACAACTACAAGGGGTGGGCTACCATTGAAAGAGAGCTAGTAATCCCTTCCCATTTTCGTGGTTACTAGTGAAGGAAGAGCACTAGAAAACACACTAGGGCCTAACTACTTAAAAGCTTTTTATAGAGTGTGGCTCCTTTCCCAAAATGACCAAGGCTGCCAGTGATACAGAGTGCATTGAAATGAAGTGTTGACTTTGAAGTAGTAATTTCCACAGGCTTTCTAAAACATACATCTGATTGAAAGAATCATTGTCAAGAATTTATATGCCACTATCACCCAGGTAAACCGACAATGCGATCCTTGCTTCCAGACTAACCCCAAAATACCCCCTGTCCGAAACTCGGTCAGACTGGGAGAGGCCATGGGCCTGTACAGCAGTGGCAAATTAACTTTTCAGAACTCCCAAGGAAAGGGGGGTATCAGTATTTCCTAGTATTGATTGATACATTTTCAGGGTAGCCAGAAACATTCCCCACCAGAACTGTCAAAGCTTGAGAGGTGACCAGGGTATTATTACAAGAAATAATACCATGCTTCAGAGTTCCAGCCACAATATCCTCAGATAGAGAATCATATTTCATTTCCAAAGCAGTGCAACAGATTAGTAGCCACCTGGGCATAGATTGAGAACTTCGCACTCCTACCGCCCCAATCAAGCAGCCAGGTAAAGAAAATGAATCATTTGATTAAGTAGCAGATTGTAAGACTAGGGCAAGAAGTTAATCCACCCTAGCCCCAAGCTCTTCCACTGACACTATTGCAAATTCAAACTAAACCTTGAGCTAAAGGAATGCTGAATCCTTTTGAAATGCCTTATAAAAGACCATATAGAATACAAAAGGAATGTCCACCCACATTAAGGTGATAACACTGGCCACCTACATGGTGGCTTTAAGCAAACAGCTCAGAGAAATTGAGAAACATGTGGCTGGAACTCAGAGCAGGGAGTTAGCCTGGGGATGATGTACATGCTAAGTCTCTTACAGAGAAGACTTTAGAACCACAGTGGGAAGGACTACTGCAAGTACTTCTCACAACCTTCACTGCAATCAAAATCAAGGAGCAGAATGCCTAGATCCATCACTCTCGAGTGAAGAAAGCCCTAGAAGTCCCTTAGAGAGTGGCACCAGAAGATAATGAACTGAGACTAAAACTTACTCGGGCAAAATGAGTATATTGCAGTCAAGGGTAGTTCATACTTTAGTTTACAGAATTGTTTTGTATGTAATTGTAACTGAAGTTTCAGAACTAGAGAGTACCTCTATCCAAAGCGATGCTGAATGGCCTTGGTCCCAGGCTTTTAATCAGTAGACTAGATCCTTGAGAGAACTTTCTGAGATAAAAGATTTAAACGTGTCTACTGTAGTAATCCACAGGAATCGAGTATATGAGAAGCAAGAATGGCAAGAATGAGAACTGTGAGCACTTCAAAGAATCAGAGGATAAAAAATCAAAGTAGAGTGCCGGGTCATCAATAGGACGGCTTATGAGAGATCAAATGCAGTTAGTGTCTCAACCTCTTCTGGTGTATATGAACACCAGGAAGTTTGTGATAGCCTAAGTGAATCAGACTTTTAGTGTAATTTCACCTTGATACAGCCTGTAGAAGTGACCTGTCTTTGAGCTCGAGTTGCTATCAGACTTTCATTTAAATTCAAAGTAGACACTGCACTTTTTACAATAGCAGGGCCTTATACAACCCACACTAGGACTCAAATAGTTCAAACTCAACCCAAACTTGAACCTGAAGTGTATGAAATAGGCCCCTACATAGTGAGGAATGTGTGTGAACAACAACTATTATTCAATCCAGAATGGTCTCTCAAACGTGTGGAGTTGCTAATGCAAATTAACATCTCAAAAATCCAACCAGCCTGCTCCTCCTTCCTAAAAACATCCTTTGAAGGCTAGACAACGTAGTTACAAAGAAAAGTATATCTCAAGAGCAGAATAAGAAAAGATCTAACTGAGATATTAGAGACAAGATTAAGAGTTTTAAATGGAATTGATTCAGAAATACTGATGAATAAACTGGCCACTGCAGCAGGTAGCCTAACAAAATTGAAGCAGCCTTTACAGTCATCTCTATTGGCATTAAGAACTAGCCAGTGGAAGATTTCAAAGGTGCTGCCAAAGTGAGAAACGGCCAGAGACCAAGACCACAAGTTAATAGTAGAAGCACTTAGTACAGTTCAAGATAATGTGTCTTTAACTTTCAGTTGTATACAAGCACAGTTATGGATGCAGGCAACAGCAGCTCTGATCATACGGGAAGGGGGTGAAAGTAATTTTCCAGCTGAAATTCGGAAAATTGTTTAAGATAATGCAATTGATTTTGAAAAGAAGTTTCAATCCTGGTAAACTATGGTGAATTTCACCTATGATCCTGTTTCTAATGTGGCCACTGCCTTTGTACTTACCATACATAATGCCACTGTTTATGCTATCCATCCCATCATTGCACTAAGATTAAACCATGAGAAAACAATACTCTACCCTTCAGAACATAGAGTGTGAGCAGAAAAGATGAATGAAAAGTGGCAAACAGTAAACTTAGAATCCTGCATTATTAGAGAACAGATGGGATTCATTTGTAAAAGCAATACTATTAATGCCCAGGATGTGTGTTTAGACACTGAACGTAGTATTTGTCACTTTGAAGTTCATCCAGTCACTGACCAGAAAACTGTGTTCATATATACTAGAAAAAATGTGTATGCCTGAGAACTGCTTGTGCTGCTGTAAAAATTGGTATCAATGATGTTATTTTGTCTAGTAGAAATCATTCTTATTTCTGTATTTGTAATTTGTTAAGATTATCGAGTGTGGTTTTTCGTACTTAGTCCGAGTGACATCCCACCAGTTACATAAAACCAATTACACAATGTATCATAGACTATCACCCTCTCCTATTAGAATAGACCTTAGATTAATAAAACAATTAATTAAGCACCAAGACCTACTAAAGATCTTAAAGAAAAACTCAAGGAAGCAGAGAGAACTGTCCAGTGTGATACAAAAAGAAATAACTAGAATTCTGCAAAGAATAGAACAAAATGCACATCATCACTGGTGAGATGTAGTCTTTAAGTAGTCACCAACTGCAAATAGAATCGTTAATAAGTTGTGTCATCCTACTGTAGTTTTGTTAATATTAGTTAGAATAAGTTTAAGATTATCCATTATCAAACGTACATGATAAAGCGCTAAAGTACACTTGTTGTCATAGGAATTTGTACGAAGTAAAAGAATTTACTTCCACCTTTTAGGAAAGGGGGGAATGAAGCAAAGCAAAAATTTTCCAGGATAGAAATCCATTTTAATTTAGGTGAAATGTACATTTTTGAGTTGAGTCTGTGGTTAGAAACCATAGTTATTTAGCCTGACTGCAAAGCCTAAGCTCTGTGAAGTTACTTTAGTGAAGGACAGAGATAAAGGGAGAGAGACAGAAGATGATAGAGAGAGACAAGGACTGCTGTAAGGGCAAGTCAACCTGACCTCGGAATTCTTTCTGATAAAAAGAACTAGTGGCAAATGTCACGCAAAATTCATAAAAATTAATATGTATGAACCTATTGTGAAACTATATGCATATGTATTTGAAAAGAAAATAAAAAGGGACCTGAAGTTCCCAGAGGTACGCATGCCTTTTTTGAGAAGAGCAATCTCCGCATGAGTCCAGCGCTGTAATAAACATACCAGCTTTAGAACTTTCACAAAGTTGTAGAGTACTTTTTTTTTCTCCACAAAACACATGGCTGCCAGACCTGGATCCGGGCCCATGCTTGGAGCCTGAGCTCCCGCTGCAATTGTGATCCCATGCAGGAGAAGGGATTACAGGTGACCATGCCCCTGATGAGTCACAGATGTGTTAATTACCCAAAACAACCTTGCCCCTGATGAGCCACAGCTATATCCAATAAGGACGAGTGTGATAAAAGGGCGGGTTGCCTAGTCAGGGGAGCATTCCGAGGAGGGGGGAACTGAAGGAATGATTCATAAGGACTGGAGGATGGGCCAAACAGGAGAGAGAGATTTGCTGCTGTGAGGGATCTGCTGTGAGGTCAGTCTGGGTCTGCAAGGGAAGCCTACAGTGGGAGTTTGCTGTAGTCAGTCAGTGAGTAGTTAGTCAGGATGGCTGAGTTGTGAAGAAGAATAAACTGGGACCCTTTTCACACTGATAAATAAGAGTGTGTGTCTTAGCTCATTTGTATCTCAAATGCGAGGTCTGCTGCAACAATCCCACTCTTTCTGGAAACAACTAACGGTTCACTTTAGTCAAGGGCAACAATGTCCACACTAATAAAAACCACCCACCTGGTGAGGCAGAAGAGCTCCAGCTCCCAGATCACAAGTGAAAGTACTTACAAAATCACATCCATGCCTAATGCCCTGATTTTGGGATTTTCTCAAGAGTTCTTTAATATGTTCTATTTGTTATGGATGGATAATGAGATTATTGGCTCTTGCCCTTAAGGGATGAATATTGTGTGAATATTAAGAGAAGCTTTAGTGATGTATAGTTATGTTATTTCAGTGTAGATGTCCTCTGTTCTCTCCCCAGTTCCCCTTCCCCCCTGTATTGTTGCCATCCGACAGCCTGGGTTGCTTAGGGCAGGTAGAAAGAAAGAAGGTGTGTCACCCTGGTTTTTTAAGATTTTCTAAGCCTTCTGATGTTGACATTCTTGTAGTGAACTTTCTCACACACTTTCTGTAAATAACTCATTGTTTTTCATTCCTTTATGGAGGAAGAGAGAGTTGATGGACTGTTGGTTTGACCTGTGTCATTGCAGAGGTGTCACTGTCACCTTCCAATCCACTGTCACTTTTGTAAAACTATAAATATTGGAGTCAGAGAATAAAACTTCCCTTTTTTCCTTCACCTTGAGAGAGGTGGTGTGCTTGTGTTCTTTCGTGTCCGTCAGCGACAAAGGTGTGCACATGTGCCCCTTGCATGGGGCAGTTGGGAACAGAAAAGCTTGTTGCTAGGGTGGCGTGGCATGACAACACCTAACCCTCCAATCAAGTTACAAGAAAGCAGTCTCCACCAATAAGAATAGTTGACTGACAGACTTTGGGAGGGCCAGGGTTGGCTGATGCAACCCTCAAGAGTATAAAAGACTGAGCCATCCATCTTGAAGATGAACTGGCCATGTGGTAGGCGGCCATGAGGGCAGTTCCCAGCACTGCTATTTTTCCTTATGTAGTCCTTTTGTTGTATTTTTGTTAAGGTTTAATAAACCTTTTAAAAATTTTAAAGTGAGCAGTCATTTCTCACATATTTACACTTTTCAAAGGGATGACATTTTATGAGGCTTCAATGAAGATAAGATTTGGCTCTAGTGCTCTGGTTTATGCATGGGGAAAATAATACTTACCTCCTCTGTCTTCATGAGGATTAATTGTGCATATTCAGCAAACCCACATCCTCTAGAAATTGCTTAAGGGTATTTGCATAACGCCCTTAACAACACTCTAACTTTTGGTCAGCTCTGAATTGGTCAGGCAGTTGGACTAGATGATCACTATAGGTCCCTTCCAACCAAAACATTCTGTTCTGTTCTAGCCTGTCCTATCTCCTTAATTCCTCTCCCAAGACCAAATCAACTTCTTAGTCAGTTTTTCCTTCTTCTTAGCCCACTGTTGGAGTCCAGCTGTTAACATACCTGAAAACACTTGGAGTTCAGCAGGAGTCAGCATTGCACAAATAACTATTTTTGCCTCTTAAGGAGCTGTGTCAAATGTTCTCCTTTATTCCCCTACACTTTTTATCTGCTGTGAAGCAACCTGCAAGTTTTCTTGTTCAGCTGGCAGCCCTAAGAGCAAGATGAGTCATCTGAAAACCAGAATAACTCACCAGACCAGACCCATCTACCCAAATATCCCCCAAGGTGCTTGGGTGTGTATTGTCAGGGTAATTGCTTCAAAAGGTTTGCTCAGATGCTTAGTGTCTTGGTTTTGGAGACAAATTTCAGGAAAAAAACACCCTGGGAAAGCACTCTAAAAGGGAAAGGACTTCAATAACTCCCTTTTCGTCTGCCCATGAGAGAAATTGATACCAGCAGGTGAAAGTGGCAAAAGCCCTGTTTATTAACAAAAAAAAAACACCAAAAAAAAAAAAAGGTGCCCACAAGGCACAGAAAAAGGAAATTGAACATTACACCCCATCTCATCGAGTGGCCAAGAGGCAAAGACAGCGACTGCCCATCTTTGTCCCTGTGAGGGGAGGAGAACAGAGTTCATGACGCGGCTGGGCACCTGTTGGATTTCTGGTGTGGGTGTTCTCCTCGCAGCCGGCAAAGTTGGTGGAGTTTAACGTCCTTTCTTTTGCTGACTCAGTCTTTCTGGGGTTCGTACTGGCTAGAGCCACCCTGCAGGCTCCCTGGGTCGGAGAGGAAACACAAAAAAAAAAACAAAAAAAAAAACCCCCAAAAATATTTGCCAGTGAAAAGCCTCCAGGCTGCGACAAGGAAAAATAAAAAAACTCCCAGAAGCTTCGTGCCTAAATTGGTGAAAATTAATCCCCCCTCCCAAAAAAAAAAAAGGCAAAGAAGTAACATTCCGTGTAGCTGCTGACCATCATGCCAGAGAGGGAGAGATTGAACCGAGCAGGCGCAGGAGCCCAAGGCTCCCTGACCCATCCTCCGGGTCCATCTTAAAGCTACAGCACTTGTTTTCTGGGCATAAAGCAGACAGAGAATAAAGCATCATCATAAAATCACCCCAAGACACTTGGGAGAGACTTTTGAAGTGACCTAAAAAACGACATGAAATCCCAGAGTGCAGAATATTCAACTGTTTCAAGCACTCTGAAAACCTGGGACATACAAAGGGAAGCATTCATTTTAGGACTGGTGTGAGATCTGACACTTAAAGAGGGCTTCTCTTGTCTCAGACATCCTTGCAGGACTACATGAGGTCCTGCAGCCACTGCCATGGGCTAAGTCAAGGGCACAGCAACCTTGGCCTTCAAGAGCCAAAAGGACTCAATACTCAAACTCCTCTTTGCACACAACAGCCAAGTCCAGGTCACTAATTTGAGGGCACAGACCAGGTCCTAGCTCCACTACTGCCACCTGGGTTGGATAGGTCAGGGAGACAGTTCCACAGCAGACCCTAAACTACCTAAGGTCATGCTACCCAGTGGTCCAGAACTGACCTTTGTGTATAAGAAACATGTAAGTGTTTACCCAACATGAGGGACTGGAAGCAAAACACATCAGTGCTGGTGTCTGTATTGCTCCAGCTGCACGTTCTTCATCCTCAAACCGACCAAGTCTCAAGCAAGCTCAAATATATTGTGGTTGCTATAACCTAAAATCAGTACTGACTTGAAAAGAGGAGGTCATCTGGTTTTCAAGTTGTATATAGATGAAATTTGAGAGGTTATGGTTTTTCCCACCATGTTACAATAACAGTAGAAAGCACCTTCTTTCCCTCCTCATCACACCCTGATCTCAATCTCCAATGGCTGAGAAATACTGAGTGGGACAAAGTTCAGAGAGCTGTTAAATTGACACAGAGGGAAAACAAACTTGATCGATGCCACTTGTGAGACACAAGCAGGTGGCCACTTTAGGAAGCTTTGGGGAAGATCCAGCCTTGCAGGCATCCTGAGAAGTGAGAAATATCTCATTTGATGTGAGAAAGATGTGCAGTAACTGAAAAGGTGGTTGGGAGAAATGAACCTTCACCACCTAGATGTTTTAAGGATTAATTACCAGTTTATTGTATCCTACACACTTAACATTTTGTTCATCCATGTATGAAAAATTTCTGTGCCAAATGCTACCATGGGACCACATCAGCATCCACACCCTTCACTTTAAAACACACCCTGAATATAAACATCACCATTCACTTATAGTCAGTGGACCCAACTTTTGGTTGTGGTTCTCTACAAGCAACCTTCAAATTCCAGAAACATGACTGACCACAATAAAACACTTCTAATAAATGGGGAGGTTGGTAGCACCACATATCAATGTCCAAACTCACCAAGACAAGCCAGCAGGTACAGCACAAACCAGTTAGATAAAAATCACATGTACCTGTTCACTAAATCAGCTTCTCTCCTAGCTCTAACTCATGGCCTGGGGTCTTTTCCCCATTCACGTTCCTCATCTTTATCACACCATATATATATATATATAACCAAAATATTTTTAAAAGAAAAAATGTTAAACTAAAAATTGTTGCAACTTCTGTTGAAGCTGAAATAGTCCATTCAAGTATGGCTTAAATATACTCATGTTCAAACTCAACAGCACAACCAAGCTCAATATTTCCCCAAAACTTCTGACTAATTGACAAAGATGAACAACTTTTTAATGCTACCTTACCAGTGGTGGTTCAAAACTCCAGAACAAAAATATGTCCATCAGAAACTCTCCCAGACATTTCTGATGGCTTTGTCTCCTCTAATAAAGCCTTTTTGTGCTAAAATGAATACTCCTTACAGACCTCCTTTCTGTGGAAGGCACAAAGCTCACACAAACCTCATGGGTGATGCTCCAGGACCAGGCAAGAGTATACAAGTAATGATCAATCCTTAAAAAAACAACCAAACAACAAAAGTCTCCCACCAGCATCATCATCACAAAACCCATGAGAATCCCATCCCAAACCCATACAGGTAGCTTGACTTTAGCAGAAAGCTGAAGCCCCATGGTAGTGAGATGTGGCACTGCTCACCCTCCATTCTGCATCTTCTGCCGCTTGCTCCTACCACCAGCTGGACTCCACCAGTATTGGTGCTGCTGTCTTCCAAGCTGCTGGCTGGGGAAGGGCAGGGAGGGGGTGGAAAAAAACAGTCTCTCCGCACCG